ATAGTACATTAGTTAGCACCTGCATGGTACCTCAGGGGAAATGCTTTAAAAGAAGTAAGTCTCTGCTATGTTTACTTAATGTATGTAGCAAAACCCCCCCCACCAACCCACCTCTGTGATAGCATTCTTGTCAAAGGGTGGGGGTGACAAGTCTGCAGAACAGAAGACTGAGGTGGGATTTGATAGTAGCGTTTAACTGCCTGAAGGATGGTTACGAAGACGCTGAAGCTAGACTGTTCTCAGTGGTGGCAGATGACAGAACAAGGAGCAATGGTCTCAAGTTGCAGCAAGGGAAGTTTAGGCTGGATATTAGGAAAACCTTTCTTGCTAGGAGGGTGGTAAAGCACTGGAACGGGTTACCTAGAAAGGTGGTGGGATCTCCATCCTTGGAGGTTTCTCAAGACAGGGCTTGACAAAACCTCAGGGATGGTTCTGCTTTGAGCAGGTTGGACTAAATGATTTCCTGAGGTCCCTTCCAGCCCTAACTTTCTATGATTTTAAGTTGAAGAGCCAAATGTAGCGCAGAAGCTGTGGTCTCAGTGTCATTGCCCTATAGACTCTGCAAGTACACACAGCACCATCCTGGTTATGATGCTGCCTGTGCTGAAAGCAGTACAGGTGACAAGACAGGTTGGCTAATCCTATTCTCTTCATATCTTTTAGCAGCTCCTTGGATAAGGTAGGACTGGTCAGATTTCAGCATGGCATTTGGGCAGCCAGTACACTCTTTACCAGATCTCACCTGGCAAACACATCAACATGTTCCACAAAATCCTTTTCAACAGGGTGACAATTTGGGGCATCTGCCCATGTACAGCTCAGGACCTCTGCTTGATGAACTTGCTGTATTGCTGAATGATTCAGTGTGGGTAGAATCCACCAAATGCTGTTGGGGCTGTGTCACATTCCTCCCAAACTGCAACAATGGAAAGACCTTGAACCTTAATTGCTTCTGTTCAAATGGGAATGCCTTGGGATCATGGTACATCCCAGGTAAAGCTAGTTTTCTCCAACTTCACTGAAGGTGGCAGCAGGGGGTTAGAAAGCAAAAGAAATTTTGGTGTTAATGATGGGTCTTACAAATTACAAAGAGCCCCAGAGCTTCAGAAAGAACTCAGAGGGACTTGCAAAAATACCAGAAACAGAAAGGTCTGTTTTTGTAGAAAAGGTCTGACTGAGGGACTGTAACAGGGTGGTCTGGCCCTATAAGGGAGGCAGGCTCCCCTGGGATAGAAATCCAACTGTGGGTGATTACCAGGCAGTTAAGAGCTCCAGGGAAGAAAGAGCTAGGAAAAAATGGTTTGCTGGTTGGTAGGATGCTGATGCCCAGAGGAGCTTCCATCTAGGAAGGCCCTCTCCTACCACCTGGGAAAGGCTAAAGGTTTACTAACTTATTTGTTTGGACCTAGGATTATTGTTTTATGTTATGAGGACTGGCTGAGGGGCTCCCAAGTGAGGCTGCCAGCACCCAAGCCTGCTTATGGACTATTGCTTGGACTTTTAGGATTTTCAAGAAGGAAAAGCCTGCCTACACTGCAGCAGGCTTGACTTGACCTGCTTGCAAGCAGCTGCCAAGGATGAAAGAAAATGGCTGCGTAGAACAGAGCAGTGTAAATAAACTCTCTGTATTTTGTAGGATAAGTCATGTGCAGGAGAAGGCAGGTTGGACTCCCTAGGGGACTCTGAGCTAAGCCCAAAGAATGCTTTGGCTGGAAAATGCATACAAGCAGACATCAGCATCTGCATACTTCCTGTGCTAGTAAAGGCAAAGAGTGATTGGTTTTGGAATCCTTGCAAAGTCTGTGGCTGGGTTTGCCTTCTGTGCTGAGTCCCTGAAGAGGTGATTTGCACGCCAGGTGCCTAGCTGATTGGAACTTATATTACTGGAGGGCAGCTGTCCTGGGCCCTTTAACCAGCCTAATAACATTGCACAGTGGCATGTCAGCTAAAAATCATGCTAATAACCTACTGCACTGTAAGTTTCACAAAAAAACCATGTGCCAGTGCTACTGCACGGTAAATGTAGTTACTGTGCATTCAGTTAGTATTTCATTAAGGAAGCACTAAATTAAATGCACAGTAACTATGGCACATTAATGAATGTGTAGATGTGCCCATAGTGTGCTAGAATACATATAGCAGCCTGGTGTGTGCCCAGCAAAGGGAGCTCTACTTTGGACCAGTTTGGGCAAAAGGGCTTTATCCAACTGCATTCCAGTAATGACCAATCTGACTTCTTTGTTAAAAATCAGAAGTATATGTTAAAGAGCCAAAAAATTAAAATTCTTGGTTACTGGGTATGTATCCACATCATAGCCCCTACAACTCCCTTTCCACAGTTTCTCAGTCTTGCTGGGACAGTATGTCCTGCTCACCTACTCCTACTCCTGCTTCAGCTGCATTAACTTGGGAGGCATTAAAGACGCTTCAAATTGCTGTTTCTCTTAAGCACATGGAAAACCCAGGTTTTGAGTGTGGTAACAGGAGCACCTCCAGGGCATCCTCTACCTCATGTCCAGGGTTGAATGAGTGGAGGGGGCTTGTTTCTTCAGAAATATGACTGAGCTCTCTGCTACTGTGGCATAGACACGTGCTTCATCTTGTCACTGCGAAAATGTAGCCTCTCGCTACTGCTGAAGCTAGTGTGAAGTCTTTCATATGTGCTACTTGGAACAAATGATCCTTTACGGTACAGGGTTTGCTTGCCACTGAAACGTGTCAAAAGAACTGCTATGTAATGCTTCACCTAGAAATGGCCCAAAGCTATGTTTGTTCCTGTCACTTCCTTTACATCTGTCAGGTATTTGGAAAGTGTTTTTTTCCAGCTGACTTCTCAAGTGTACCTTGTACTGTTCTGCATTTAGATTTGTTCTAGGAACTTAATATCTCTACAATCTTGCAATTAAATCTCCCACTGCATTCCCCCTCCGCTCCCCCCTCACTTTGCTTTAGTCTGTCTATGCATTTTTCTTCCTGGCATAATCAAAATTATGGCCTTGCAATGTATTCCCTCTGTAAACTGATTACTGAAATGATAGCAATCCAAGTGATCAAGTATCAAGGGTCTTTCCAATGATGTTAAGGCCCTCAACCATATCTATAGTATGGCTTTTTCAAACATTCTCTCCAGAAATAAACTGTCATCTCCTATGCAGCCAGTCTTCTTGGAACAAATTGGAAAGGAATTAACACTAACTGGTCCCTATTCTACATATTCTAAATATTCCCTCTTGTGTAAGAGAGAATCAGAAGCAGAAACTGAAAATGCCTTAACTAATGTTAACTTCTATTAAACATGGGAGAGGAAAACATGATGCGAAAGAAATCATACTTTCAACTGTAATAGCTCTCAGCATACCCCTTTCTCTGAACCAGGGGTGCTCAACCCCCAGCCTGCAGACCAGATCTGTCCCTGGTGCCCTGTCATCTAGCCCATGGGGCTTTCCAGGGGTCTGTGGGGAGCCCTACGAGCTGTAGCTCTGTGCACCACATCAGACATGCAGGATGACGCAGGACCCCAATCCCAGTGGGCAGGAGTGGTGTGGGGCCCTGGGGCCCTGATCCCAGTGGCGCAGGGCCCAATCACAGCAATGTTGGGGTAGCCCTGTGCCACTCATTTGGTCCATGAAGCCAAAAAATTAAGCCCTATTTCTTCTCTCCAGTTTTTTAGAAACGGATACAGACTAGAGATTGTTAACTGCTGCAACGTGTTAGTACCTTTCACTTTATTGTTAGACAGCTCTACGAGGAATAATTTGACTCTACTGGAGTCCATACACTCACGTTCTGAACTGATTAACTCTTTTGTTGCAGACATGCGAGGCTTATGTATAAACATTGTTCTCTTTTTACATCTGTTGGCTTGGAGTGTTTGCAACCCAAATGTGACAATACAACTTCATCAACTTTGTTGGAGTGTCAACTAGTTAGACACGATCTAACCGCTACAATGTGTTAGTACCTTTTAAGCAAACCGAGACTGACTTGCAGGCCTCGGGGTTAGAGCTGACTGTTTGCTTGTGTATTGTCACCATTTTTTCATGTGAAACCTGACTTGTTCCACAACATTTTCCACAGAATGTTCACGTTCATTGGATTTTTGTTCCTGTTTTCAGTTTTTTTTAAAAATCATTTGTTGTTTTCAAAACCACTTTTATTGGACACTGAAACATTTTACCAAAAATGGGGGGAGGTTAGGTTTGTTTTTAGGTTTCCTGCCAAACAAGCAAGCAAACAAACTCTATATTATATTTATGTATTTACTTATTGGAGGTAAATACATGCTTGTAAGTGGCATGTCTGTCTATGCTGGTAGTGCTACATTTTTGATCTGGGTCAAACCCTGTGACAAGTTGCCCCACCAAGAGTGCCGCATCTGTCCACACCCTTTGAGTAGCTGTATTGGGAGCAGTGGAGTGAGGAAAGGCAAGTGTGCAATGAGCATGACTACATGGTAAATGCTAATGACTTTCTCATACCCCACTCCCCAAATTCTTCCACAGTCCTCATGACAAGCTGCCAGGGGTAGCTGTCACTACTCAATACTCCCCACATCTCCTACCCTGCTCTTGTATTTTGGTCACCCTCCATCCCAGTACCCAAGTTACTCTAAAACCCAACATCTAGCTTCCCTCAAACTCACCCTTTTCTCTCCATTCTTTGCAGCAAGGTCCTCTGCCTCCTTGCTAAAACTCCCCTGGCACCAGGTTAATAATCAGGAAGGATTGCTTTCAGATTTAAAAACAATCCTGGTCCAGCCCCAGGCTGTGCCCACCCCCTTGCCCTAGGCTGGGATCAAGGGGGAGGCTGAAATAACTCCCAGGGCTTTGGGGCTTAGAGCATCTCTCCCCCCCACAATTTCTCTCTGTACCACATGCACTGGTGATGAGCTCCCTGGGCTTGTTGCCATGGCAATAGCTGATATAAAGTGCTCAGCCTTAATGGCATTTTGATTGGTCGGTGAAGGTCCCTCCCCTCTGGAGAGGGTGAAGTGCGGGGGCTCCCTGAGCCCTGGGGAGGCTGGAGGGAAGCCAGTTCGGAGTCATGTATGAGAGGGAGATGGGGGTCTTTTGCAGCAGCAGCGGTAGGTGAGGCAGAGAGCCTAGGTTCATGCCCTCCTCGCGCACACGCACAGCAGCAGCCAGCAGCAAGTTGCTCTTTTCTCCCTGCTCCCATCTCCTGGACTGCTTCATTGCCTCTCTTCTTTGGGTCTCCTCACCCGACACAAGCAGCAGTGTTGTGAGAGAGGACAGCCCAGAATTTCTCTGTGGGAAACAAGACTTGTGCTCAGCCGCAGCAGATACGGAAGGCAGCAGCAGCAGCATCCCATAGGAGCTCACGTGTGGGGAGCGAGGTAGGTAGCACGTCCTAGGATGATTAGCTGTGCAGAGACCTTTCAAGTGGTGCTCAGGCCAGCAGCGCCCCATCTGATACCCTGCGCCTGGTTTTGCTAGCTCATTGCTCTGAGTTGCAAGTTCCCCTGGATCTAAGGTGTCCTAGACTGATGTCCGATGCTTCAGATGAGTCCGGTTCCCATTTTGGAACCACAGTTAGGCATCTGACCCCTACTGAACCTAGTCCTGGAAGGGTCAAGCTAATATTGCTTGCCGCTAATGGCATGTGCCAGTATATCTAGCTCCTAGGGTCTTCCGTAAACTAGTCTTCTGCATGTGCTTGCAAGCTTTCACTCACTCAAACTATGCCGATGCAATGGAAGGCAGCTTGCTGCGGAGTGTGTAAGACCCTTGCGAGCTCACTCCCATTTCTGCTCCAGGACTTCTGCCAAAATAGATTTTGCCCAGTCACTTGTGCCTGGTACTTGATGGGGGCACCCTTGCAATCTGCTATCAGGTGCATAGCTTGAGCTGCCTTAGTAACCAGCACAAAAGATCCTGGGAGGAGTGGTGCAAGTGACTGGGTGTGGTGGGTATTTAAAAGATTTGGAGCCCCTTTGAGAGAAGGTTACTGGAAATTCAGCTGGAACGGGGCTGACTTTTTTTCACCTTTCAGAAGGCACGAAAGTAACTTAAAGTTAGAAAAAGAAGCTTTGGAAACATGAACACAGCAAGGCATAAAGTGGGGTTCATATCAACACAGTCTTGGTGTAAAGCTGACACCTGCTCTAATCAGAATCCTGTTCTCAGCATCTTCCAGTCGAATCTGTTTGTCCCTGATAAGTGCTGAACACTGTTGCCCCTGCAGAGGTGGGTGTTACCGGAGCAGGAGCTGGGTTCCAATCCACCTCATGTCTTGGCAACAATATGTTCAGCTGGGATCCCATTTCTAAGTCCTCAGTGTTATGTACCAAATGGAGAGGAAGCAGAGTGAATTTTAAAGTTGGGTTGGGCTGCACAGGCCAAACAGATAGAAAAATCAATCTATTAATCAGTGAGCCTGGGATATATCGGGTCTTCTAGAACTGAGAGGGGAAATTGGGCATGGTGTGGGCCATTCATACTGTGTCACTTTTTGGACTGTAACTTCACTTTCATATTTTGAAGGCAAATAAATGGGGGAGTTGCCCAACCATCCTATGCCCGCCCTCGGGATCTTGCAGTAGCTACCAGTCAGGTTCTTCTGCTTCAGCTGTTGTTTTGTTTGCCCGCTGGTGTCACTTCTTAGCATAAAATGCTCATGGCTCTATGCCGTGCCTCCTGACACCTTTAGGAACTTGTCCTAGTGGGCATGTCCTCCCTTGGATTGCTCAGTTAAGTGGCTATGGCAGAGAATACAGGTGCATGTGTTATGCCTAAGAAGGGGTTTTCATGCCATAATCCATGTTTGAAAGCACTGGTATTGCTGAGAGAGGGTGGATAAAGAAGCAGCTAGTTTAGGGGAGTCTTCTTTCTCATTTCAAGCCCCAGCCTGAGCTAGGTTTCCTAGCACAGAGGTCTGATTCCTTCCCCCACCATGAGGTGCTCTGTCATCCTTTACTGTAGGCTGGGGGACAGATGACATTCTGTTTTGAGCTGCAAGCTCTCTCCTCTCCACACGAGATCTGCCGTCATCCCGTGGCTTTTTTTTTGGTCAAGTGATCTATATGAGGCATCCAGAAATTAGGCTGATGGTAGCACTTCAGAGGCAGCATATTCTGTCCCAGGATATGAAGAGAGTCATGCCTCAGGCTGTTGAATGGTTTCTTGCATTGGCTGATGCTAAGAGGCTCTGCATGGGGTTCTGGCTAGTTTATTCTCAGTTAGAAGGAAAGTGGACCTAGCAAGGGGGAAGTGTCAATCATCTGAAAGCAAAGGAAGATCTCCTCAAGGACTTAACAAAGGAAAAGGGATGCCAAGGAGGCTGCACAAAGGTCAATTTATAGAAACAAGACAGAAGACAATGGGCAGGACTGGAATCCAGGAGAGTCTATGTGAGATAAATCCATCTGCTTTCTCCCCACCTTGAACTAGGCTCTAGAGGGAAATAGATAAAATACCCAGGTCTCAGCCAATAAGGAGAAGGAGGAGAGATTCCTCCCCAGCCCCAGGTCTGACAATTCATTGTTTATCCCTGCACAAGCATGCAAGAATTGCTTGTAATTTGAGACCTAATCCTGTGAATCTGAGGTGACCAAAATTGTAACTGATAGGGTTGAAATGAATGCCATGTTCACTCTCACATTTCCTGCTGATAGTCTATTAGCGGGAGAGTAGGAGGCTCTTTTTTTGCTGGAGGGATTCAGTAGGCAGACTGGGTGGGGAACAAACAGATTAGTTCCACATGCTTGCTTCTGATTAAATTTGATCGCATCCATTGCTTGAATATAAACAATCAGCAAGATCTATATGAAATCAACTAATCTGATACCAAACCAACTAACCCTTGTCATAGAAGCTGGAGATGGAAGCAATCTGCCAGGTCATATCTTATCCCTTTCTCCACTTGCAGCTGCTAGAGAATTGTTCAATACAGCACATTCTCTAGTGCTTTGTCTAATCAGTTTTGAGTAACTCGGTGATAAGGCTTCTGCCACCTTGCCTTGGGAAACAATTATGTAGTCTAATACAGCAGAGCTCACTGTTACCAAAAATCACACTGATCTTCAGCTTCAATTTCTTTTAAATAGTCTCAGTTGCAACCTTATCCCTAAATTATCTTTAATAATTACTCACAACCCTGTGGTTACTGGCAACCAGATCCAGCAGAGAGAATAATTTTAGCATATCCTTGGGGCTGGCTACTCAGGAGGGGTTTTGTAAATGCTTTCATAAAATCCCAACAGTATGACATCTGGTTTTCAATCTACTTCCCTTCATGGGTAAGATCATTTAATACATCCATAGACTGAATGTGTTACAAGCAAAAGAGTTAAAGAAGGCCTAACAGTGGGACCAGAGGATATGGATGACACAACAGTGCAAGAGAGAGGGATTCTTGCTTCCTTTTCAGATACGAAGGATGCTGGGGAAATTCAGATGCTGTCCTTCTAGATCTGAGTAGGGTGCAATGATGTTACATCACTATCACAGGGCATGATATATTTTTGGAGGAGTACTAACAAACTAAGAAAAGGACAGGCAGCAGGCTGTTGTGCTAGGAACAGAGGCTGTGTCTCAGGTGATTTGGTGTAGGGACATGAGAGAGAATAATGGGCTGCAGTAGCTACAAGAGTAGAGGGCAACTTTCTCCCACCAACTAATAGTGAAGGGGTGAAGCTCATAGAATAGTAAGACTCTCTATAGGTAGCATTAGATGTGGGATTTACACAAGTGCTCAACTTTGACTCCATGGGAGCAGAGTTTGGCCAGTGCGCAAGCATTTCACCACTGATTTTGGTGACTGCAGAAGGAGGGTGATGCTGGGTGCTCTTGAAAATCCATGCAAAATTACCCTTTGCTGTGACTTGTGCCCAAATGCTGTTTGCCTTGTTTTCAAAGCCTCTTCTTCCAGGCCTGAGGGTTTTTGTTTTGGTCACCAAAGCCTGCAGTAGTCAGAAGTGAAAACATAACCAAATGCTGTCTGTGCACAGCTCAGACCTGACATACATGCAGTTCCCATTGTCTTCAGGAAAAGTGGAGGTTGAACCTGTTTAGGAATTTGGGCTCCTGAATTTACACCTGTCTGTGAAACAGCAGGGAAGTATTTTGGGGAGGGCTGGAATCAAAAAGCCTGGAGTGTGTTTTAAGCCTTGACACAAATATCCCTTGGTAGCAGATAGTGGTCAAGCAAACATTTTCTCACCTTTTCCTGCCAGCATGCATCACTCCAATGGGAAGGCAGAGAAGGAGGGTTTGGTCTCTGTCACCCAGTCAGCTCTTGGTCAAGAGAGAGGCCAAGGAGCTAATTTGTGCTGAAGGCCTAGCTAGGATTTTGTGTCTGGATTTCACAGGGCTACGCTGGTTTGAAAGAGAAGCATCACTCTTGGATTGTGTGTGAAGTCTAACAAGAAAAAAAAAACAGCTGTTCAAGGTAAGCCCTACTTTGTTGAAGGGCATTCTGTGAAATGTTTAAATAACTTTAGATGCAGTGCAGCTGGTAAAAGTTTAACACCTGAGACCGCAGTCAAAAGGAACAAAAAGCAGAAGTTATAAACCTGAATATAATAAAGGAAATTTGGCTTCTTTGGTGAAAAGTCTCAGTTCCATTTAGATGGGTCTAGGCCAGTGCTCTGGGGCATCAGTTGGCTCTGTACCCTCCAGGGTACAGTGCCAAATAGCATCTAAGGAGGGCATTGAACTAGGCTGGAGTGGAGCATTGCTAAGCATTAAACTAGGGCAAAGCTGAGCTTTGAAGCTGATGCAATAAGAATTCAAGCAAAGCTGGAAAGGCATGGGACCCTTCTGGTGAAATAATGATTACGTATCAGGAAGCATGGTAGAGATTTTCATATCGACACTGACTTTAATCCACCTATATTTGCTTCTCTCTCCTTCCTCTGGCAGTCATGCCTCATTTCTTGGATTGGTTTGTGCCAGTGTATCTAATGATCTCCATTCTCATCTTGGTGGGCTTCGGAGCTTGCATATACTACTTTGAGCCTGGACTGCAGGAGGCCCACAAGTGGAGGACACAGAGGCCAATCATGGAACGAGACCTTCGGAAAACCCTGATGATTCGGGATAACCTCGCCTTTGGAGTGCCTGAGGTGTAGTAATCTGCTTACAAGGGCATGTGGAGTGTTTTGAGAAACTAAGTCAAGCAAACCCTTTTTTGTGCAGCCAGTAGCCTGGGCTGGATGTATGTTTCAATTCACTTAGGAGGATCTTCTGATGTACGGTGACTGGAGTGGGGTGGTGAGCTTTCACTTCATTCTTTGCTGACCTGGGTCTGTCACCTTTTTCCTCTTCTGCATTTCTAAAGCAAAGTGTGTGCACTACTGCTAACTCAGGATTTACAGGGTCAACCCTAAATGACGTGTTCATGGTCCGTTAGTCAGCAAAGGATCTCTTGCACCTTCCTTTGACTCAGATTTGTGGATCCATGAATGACAAAAGTTCTGTACTATTCTTTATTCAGTCGAGGATCCTCTGCACCTACTCATAACCTGTAAAATGAAAAGTCTCTGCAGAGGGACCCAGGGGTGACAGATCAGCTTGAGACAGGACATGGAACCTTTTACTCCTAAATCACTGGATTAGATCTAGCTCTGTTTGGCTGAGTCTGAAAGTTATTCCCATCTGATGCCTCTGGTGATTTTACATGAATTAAACTTGGTGGGTCTCAGCCCACTTTCTCATGTAGAAGTGCGTTTCAGAGAAATCACCACTGGCACTAAACTGGCAACTTTGCTGACTGTCTGGGTAGTCAGGCCAAGGGCTGACTGAGCCCTGGAGACTGAACCCCCTTCTCACTGCTAGCAGCAGTCACAGGAGGTCAGGATTGAGACAGGGTGAGGGAAGATCATATAGCTGTACGTCTGGTATTTTCATGAGTGCTAAACTCATCTAAAAATTTCAGCTAAAGCAATCTGTATGGATCCATTGTCTAGCAGGGAATCCCTTGCATCTCTTCATGACCTGCAACACTGGGATTTATCACAAAAGGTTGAGTGGATCCCTTAGCAGTCACTGAATCTTCTGCACCTGCTGAGGATGCAGGAGTGAGTCTAGGATTCTATGTTCTGAGTGCTCCTGCAGTCCTTGATAGCAAGAGTGTTTTCTGAAGTGAATTGCTCAGTGCACTGGGTCTGGTGCCACTCCCCCATGACTGCAGTCAGCGCTGGAAGCTGTGAAATATCTTCACAGCCTCACCCCCGTGCATCTCCAGTAAGGGACACTTAGCTGGACAGGTTGAGAAGGGACTGTTCCAATGACTAAGCTTTCTGAAGCCCACCTGTATTCTGTATACAGCAAACCGTGTTTATATTCTCTGTGCTTGCACTTGCCTCTGCTCCTCCCTTGGGTTGATGTGTTGCCAAAGCACTATAAAAAAATGTGGGGAAGTGGGGCACCCAACACTTTTCTCCTTGTTGCTAGCTGCAGGCAAATCGTAACAGATAACAATGTTGAATTCAGAGCCCTTAATGTGGGCTCGGTTAGGGCACTGCTCAATATTACACAGAGTTTTCTATCCCTGTGGCTGTTATTACTTCTCATGTACTATGCTAACATGCAACTGCTTCCCCCATTGCATTCACTCCACATTATATAAAGTAACAAAACACCATGGCTGACCCATCAGAGTGTGTGCACTCTGTGGAGCACCATTCCCCTACACAACCACTGCCAGTGTATTGTATGCCAGTGCAGCTCAGCCACTGCCATCCTTTGCTACACACACCTGTACAGAGATAACTTGCCACTGGTCCCCTAGATTCTTGTAACACGCACGTTGCTGTACACTTCAGACGCTCGGCGCCCACCTCATCCTGCCATTTTGCACATACTTCAATACATTCCATACTATCAGACTGCCCTTGTGGTGGTAGTTCAGTGCCATACTCCACTGGGCAGCTGAAGGCAACAGATTCAGGCTGGGGAAACAGGTTTCTTCCCTCATTTTGGCTCTGCAGCCAGCTCCCAGTGTGTATAGTCTCTAGGACATAGTGTGCTCTAATCCTTCATACAGTAATTGAGGGGGGAAAAAAAACTATGTTGATTTAAGTGGGTGACAGGCCATTGATGGGTGTCTGGCGATAACGTTGATAGATGTCTGAGGATAGTATTAATATTAGGAGTAATAGCTTTGGTAGTCCCCACTGCCTTGTGGGTACTCCTTGGTTGGAGAAAGGCTAAGGGACATCACCCTGACAGGAACATGCCCTCACTGATGCAGTAGGCAGTCAGCAGCAGTTCTTATCTGTTGCTCTTTGGCAGAAGCTACAGCCATCAAGGCACTGAACATCTGGACTCAGTCTAGTCTTTGGATTCTGTTTCAATGGTTTAAAGGGGGGATGGTAGGTCTTAGGCAGCCTTCACTCCTCCACTCTTGCCTAGGCATACACGTCGAAGGACTTGGTGTGATGGTCGCAGTACTCCGTACAAGCAGATTCATCGGGCACCTGAATAGACCTCTTATGCATACCTTATGATCCAGAGGATCGACAGTTGCCTACTATGGGCTTTGGTGTATGTTTTCAACATGCAGCGAATGTCTTTAGCCTCTATTGACCATTTGCATTTGCCTGCACCACAGTAAATGTCATCATCATGCACACCCAAATCAGTAGGACCTGCTGGGGTCCATCTTCGTCTGAATGAGGGTCCTTATAATGAACCAAAAACATAGTTATATGTTGCATAGGTGTCTTTGTCACAAACTGGGCCCTGATTCAGCAAAATGCTGAAGGACATGGGACTATTCACATGCTGCAAATTAGCCTCATTTTTAAGTACCTTGCTGCTTCAGGGCTCAAAGTAAAGGTCTAGGTTCAAGCTTGTGAGTATTCCCATGTGCTTTGCTCCCTGGCTGGATTGTAGCTGTTACAAAGAAGCATCACATAGTACTGTGTGGCTGTTTTGTTTCTTAAGACAAATGCAGCCCTCTATCACATTGGCCACAGTTGTTGCCCATGAGTCACTCACTGAAATAGCCATAGTCTCTGAGTGTCAGCTTGGAGACCTGTTTCCTGGGCTTTGACTGTTCTAAGTAATGGGTGGGCCAGCAATGCAAATAGACCCCAGGCTGAGCACCAGGATAGCAATAAAAGCTTTGTACTTGAGGACTGGAGCTCAGAGATGTCAGGGACAAGTTAAAATTTCTCTATAAAATCAAGGTTCCATGTTTTGGAAAGACCCAGAGAAGAACAAAATCTCTCTTATATGCATGTGCACGTGCACACACAGACATACCTTTCTGATGTTCCCAGTTCCTTTCTCAAAACATCCCAATGCTCTGTGAATTCTGGTTACCCCACAGGTCCAACCTGTCCTTCCAAAATAGCTGGGTGTGGGTCTAGGCACCTATGTACATGTTGTCAGTAGTCTGACCTACCATAGAAACCAGACCCTCATCTTTCCTGCTGGAGGTAATCCCTCCAGGCCAGGCAGAATGCCCCCAGCAGGACGTGATGGGACAGTGTCAAAGAGAAGTTTGTGTAATGCCGTACCTGTCCTGAGGAAAGAATGGAGGATATTAGTTGGTGGGCCTGTCATCAGCATGAGCTCTGCTGTTGCTCTCATGTCTCCCCAGCACAAAATCTATTTTCATAAGCTGAGCCAAAAGGAGAAATAATGAAATGAGTGACTGCGATTTGTGCCAAGTCTCTGTGGGATGTGACAGGCAGAACGAATGTCTGTCACTGCCCCCACAGCATGTGGGGAAGCCCTACATGCATGCCCAGACTGGCTTGCAGAGGAATCCTCCCAAGCCCTACTCTTTAGGAAACTTTGCAAGATGCAAGGTCATAATGGGGTAGAGACTTGGCTGAATGATCTGTCCCCTCTGTCTCTGGACTTTTTTCCTGTTCTGTGGTGTGTGTGTTCCTTCACAAGTGTTTAACTTCTTCCCCAGGCCCAGGATTCATTGAATGATATTGAATGAAAGAAAATTGACTGAATGGGACTGAACAGAAAACATGTCCTAACAGTAGAATCTATCTGACTTTGGAATGATCTCACAAAAGAAATGGTGGGACATGTAAAGCTAGACCAGGCTGGGCGTTGGAGGACAATGCCATACAGGAGAATCCTATGTGGGCAGGGGGATGTGACCTAGCAAGTGTCTCTTGTCTCGAATATCTGTGATATTTGTGTGTGTTTGGTACCCCATATTTACCCCCAGAGCCAAGGTGGGAACATACACAAGCTCTACAGCTTTGTTTGACGTTTTGCAAACTATTTTTCTGTCAACTTATGTTTTGCACTGTCCAGTCTTGTTGGAATTGATGTTAACAGCCAGATGTTTTCCACTGTGACTTAATACTTTCTTGTCAATAGAATCAAAATCCTATTGTATAGAAATAAAATGTGGATAGCAAGCTGAGTTTTCTGGTGCTTTATTGTTCTCCATGAGTTTTTTTTTAACACTGTATATTGGGGTGTCTTTTATTCTCTTTGGAATCCTTCTGGGAGTTTAAGCAGACAGTTCAAAACAGCAGGCAAGTGTTCGGGGAGAATCTAGAATGGATACAGTGGGGTGGTTGCAGGCCTCCACCCCCATTTCTAACTGGATCATGCCAGGGGAGCCTCTGGGGAATTTTAAGTCCTAAAAGCAAGTGAGAATTCCCATCCCCACCCCTCTGTGCTCAGAGGTACATCTCTTTCCCTTCCCTGCTCCTTTGCCTGCTGTTGCTGCTGCTTGCCCTGCGGACACTGTCCCCAGGGTGGGGGAAACTTCAGAGCCACTGCATGAGGGTTGGGCTCAGCTGGGAAGACAACAGCAGCAATGGGTGGAGAGTTCCCTCTCCATGCATCTTCTTGTGGGGACCCAGCAGGGTCGGAGCGGCCTATTCCATCACTCTTGCTGCTGTTGCTGTCTCAGCTGAGCCCAGCTCCCTTGCAGCCTAGCTGGAGCAAGCAGGAGCAGCTCTGAAGCTTCCTGAATCCGAGGACAGCAGGGAAAGGAGAATCAGCAGGCAGGGAAGCAGGGTCGGGGATAAGACGCACAATTTTTTACATGGAGGGGAAGATGGGGGATTCTTACCTGCTTTTGGGACTTTAAAAAAGACCCAGAAACTCCATGGCACAGTCTGCTCACGCTGGTAGGTAGGTGATGAGAACAGGCTGAGAGTAGCGGATGTCACCACCCATGCCACACGGTTGCTGCTTCTGCATTGCCCTTTGCTAAATCCTAGATCTGTCCCTGCAAGGACTAGTTTGTAGATATATATATTCAAAGCAGCACCATTTGCTATCTTACTGGTTTCAGTACCTTATCATAATTAAGCAAAAGGGAAATGCTAGCTGAATAGCAGAACATGTTTCCTCACAGTGGGATCTGTCCAACTAAAGAAGATTCTTCTAAGGGAAGGAGGAGTAAGCTGGACATTTGGAATACTTGTAACTAAACTGGATAAAACACCAGAGAAGACGACATAGTATTAGGAATAATCCTAGACCATCTACAAGTCTTTTCTGATTCTGAATTTCTATGATTCTAAGAGAAAGCCAGTAGTTTATACTAGTATTGTTTTATCTGTGGTCACCTTTTTCAAGTGGTAGTCTACTGTAAATTCAAATATTCAAGGCCTATCTAACTTTTAGGGCCAGATCCTATTCTACCTACTTGATGCTTAAGTGGATTGAAGCACCTGAGTGCAATCCTATTCGACCCTTCCTCCATGTGTTATATCATTCTGACCCTAAGACTGAAGTCACAAAAAGTAGGGAGGAGGAGGAGAAGGACCCAAGCATCTTTTGTATTAACAGATTTTCAGGGACTTCATTTTTCACTTTCCCTTTCCTCCTGTTTGCCAGTAAGTGCACTAGAATGAATAGTGTCTGGGAGTTTTCCCCCACCATTTCCATTTTTTTTCTTA